TTAACCTACCATTTTTGATTTAAATGTATTGTCAGTTAAATATTCTTCACATAGTTCAGTTCAGTCATATTTTGTATTGAAAATCGTAAAGCTGAATGCTGGTTAATATCAGAAGAGGAACTTTCGTGGTTCTATTTCCAAAAGATGAAGTATTTAGAATATCTTCATGCCTGTTTAATGTTTTATTGATTTCTCCTATATCAACACTTATTTTGGCAAGGTAGCTTATAACAGTACTTTAAAAATCTTCCGTTAAGTATTTTATCAAAATCTATTAAAAATAAAAAGTATTCATTAATTTTAATATTTAATAGGTATAAGATTAAAAACAAGATTTTAATGTTAATTTGACTTTTTCATTTTCATTGACATTAGTAGGGTCAACTATTATAGATTCATCGATCTCTGGATTTGGATTTTTATGTAACCTCAATAGTAATAATTACATTTTAACAATGTGTTTAGTCTATACCCATCATATACGTCCTAATGGAAAAGAAGACAAGAAACTCTTACGATTGTGTTTTAAGATTTATAAAAAATTATTTACTGCCTACATTGAGACCAGAATTTATTACTGACTATAAAACAGCTTTGAGGGACGTATTAGCATCCACATTTCCAGGAACCCGATCAGTTGGTTGCTACTTTCACCATAATCAAGTAAGAGTAATAAAATACACTAATAAGACATATCCTTTTTTTGAAATTGCTCAACAGACAAAAAAAACATTGTAAATAAGTAAAAAAAAATTTAGAATTTTTAAAAAATGGTATATTTTAGTTTTAGGGTACATACAACATATTATGCACTTATAGATAATGCTTAAATTTTAATAATAAGTTAAGGAAGCAATTAAACCTTGTTTGGACATATTATTTTGTTGTTGCACCGTAATTAAATAGGTACTTGGAGGTGTCTTGTTGACTAAATCAAAACCAGACATCTCCATTTATAATATGGTATCCTTGTATTTAACCGTCGGATTAGTCTGATTGTTGCACCAGTTTTGTATAATTGTATTCTTTTGTAGGTGTTACCATTTCCCGTCATGATGGGGCAGTTAACCCCCCCCCCCCCGCCCAGAAAAAAATAGAGAAGGCAAACTTATAATTTTAAATGGGTCAGTAAATTGTGATTAATGTTTGCTCCCCCCTCCAACAATTAGGGCCGAGTTTCACCAATGATTGTATTAATTTTGTTTAGTTTTTAGTTGTTAAACCTTATTTATATTTTTAACTTTAGATTATACTCGACAACAAAGCAAAATATCTGTTGAGAATTATAATTTTTAAATACCTACTGATCAGGGGCGCACCCAGGATTTTTTTTTTGGGGGGGCTAAATTCAAATAATTTTAAAATTAATAGGTAGTATTTATTTGGAAATATGTACAGAAACCTTAAAGCTTGTTTACAATCTTTTACTAACTAATTTTGCTTTTTTGTTCCGGTTTTAAGTCGCGCCGTAGCGGTGATGTTATACCTGTAAAACATAAATATTATTTATTAAATTATGAATAATATAGTGATTATTTTTTTAATCTAACCTTTTAAATTATAAAGTTGAGACGCCTTGGTCCTTTGTTCCCCAATACTGAGAGGTACTTCTGAAGTTTGAACATCGATTTCTCTGTGATAGCTAATCCATTCAGTCGATTCTGACTCATTGTATTCCTCAAGTATGTTTTTATTCTTCTCAAAGTGGAAAATGATCTTTCTGTTGTACTAGTCGAAACAGGCAATGTTGAGAATATTTTTAAAAGTATAAATATAGTTTCAAACAGAGTATCATTATACAAATTTAATGCATCGATTGCATTATGTGGTAATGAATGATTTGGGCATTGGAATTTTTGATATTCTAAATCAAATTCGGCTACTGCAGGGCTAAAACAATTTTCTGGTATATCATTTTTATACAATTCTAAAAGTTTTAAATACTGTGATTTTTCTGTTTGATTAGGAGAATTTCCAGTTGGTAAAAGACACTTAAAACTTTTAATAATACATTTATGCTTTAAAAATCGGTCCGATATAGTTTTGACCGGGTATGGTTGTCACAATTTTGACATTTCAATTTTTAAAAAAAGATCTTTTGTTTTTTTTTTTACTGTAGTAAGTTCATAATGAAATATATTTTCTTAGGAACTTCTTGTAAAAATAGCAAACACTAGTATTTAAGTTAAACACAATTTTTAATTTTTTTTGCAAAACATTTCAATTGTCACAAGGCTTGGGGATAATTGTCCCAAGTGTTTTAAATGACAAATAACATGCAATTTCAACTTTTATTTTTTTACTATCCAATTTGTGTAGAACAAAAAACAACTTCAACAATCATTTTCAATCATGTTTAGATAATAACTAGTTTAAACTTTATACTAGAAAAAATAACAAAAGCAATAGATGAACAATATTTTGTAATACAACTTAATTAAAATATTATAATATCATGTTTAGATAGTAACTAGTTAAAACTTTATACTAGAATAAATAACAATAGCAATAGATGTACAATATTTTGTAATAAAACTTAATTAAAATATAATAATATCATGTTTAGATAGTAACTAGTTAAAACTTTATACTAGAATAAATAACAAAAGCAAAAGGTAAATGATAATTTGCAAAACAACTTAAATATTAAAACTTTAGTAGAAAGATATGATTAAAACGATATGTTAATAAGAACTTGCATCAGTTACAATAGGACTATTGCAGTTGTGACACACATAATGCGATTAATATTAATCCGCGTTCTTCCGTGCGACATTTGGCAAGAGAACTTAATGTATCCGTGGGAAAAGTGCACTCGATTTTGAAAAGAAATAAGTATCATCCATATCGGCCAAACTAAGTTCAACATTTAGTACTTGGCGATTCAGAGAGAAGGCTTACGTTTATTGCATGGTTATTGGTACAAGTTCAAGAGGAACCACAGTTTTTGGATTACATTTGTTGGACTGACGAATCCAAATTTACTAATAACGGTATTATTAACAAACAAAATAATCTATATTGGTCTGATAGTAATCCATTTTGGACAAACGATACTAATTTTCAACACGTATGGGGAACAAACGTTTGGTGTGTACTTGTAGGTGGCAAATTACTCGGTCCTTATATTTATGATGGCACATTGACTGGTACGAGATACCTCGACTTCTTATCAAATCAGCTCACCATTTTTATGGAAGATGTTCCACTAAACATTCGCGTACATTTATTTTTTCAAGAAGACGGAGCACCTGCGCATAACGCATTAATTGTTCGCGAATATTTAGAGAACTTTTAATCGATGGGCACTCGTGGACCAGTACAATGGCCGCCAAGATCGCCAAATTTGACACCTTTGGATTTTTTTTTATGGGAAAATCTGAAGACGGTTGTCTATTCTAACCCACCAAATGATCTTCAAGATTTGAAAAATAAAATAATTATTGCGTGTGCACAGTTAACCGAGGAACAAATATTTTCTGCGACACACAGAGAAGTATTGCGACGGTGTGAAGCATGCAAATAACGGTAACAACTTCGAGCAATTTATACGATGAATTGTAAAATTTAATCAAAACTCACCTGTACATAATTTAATTGTTCAATAAAATCAAAATTTGTTTTAAAACTGAATTAAAATAATAGAATATGTGTTAGTTTGTTTAATTAATTAACCAAAATTATACCATTTACAAGAAATTTGAGTTAAAATTTCTGTAGAAGTAATGTAAATTATTTGTACTTATGACAGAACACTGAATTTTTAAGAAAAACTTATACGAAATCACTTATAAATTTTAAAACTCTAAGTAGACAATTGAAAAATACGATAAATACAAATGTTATAAATCGACTCATTCTCAATCAGTCAATTTTGAAGATAGAGCAAAACTCAAGTTGCAAAAAGTCAAAGTTGCTTGAAAAAATGCACATAATTAAAATCTGAACACAAAAATGGAAGGTGCCATTTAAAAAAAAATTATTTTGTTGCGCATGAGCAGAATTTTTTTAACAAAAATTAAGATTTATCAAAAATAAATGTAATTTTATGTCCTTTACGCATTACAAAAAACCCGAATTGCATACAAGGTCATGCGTTCAAAATATTCCGTGTTACCTTTATCGTTGAACACACTGTATAAATATATATATTTATATATATATAGGTAATCTATAATTTAAAATAAATTAATATATTCACAACCAATGGATATATGTTTTATAATGAATAGAATATGATATTCATCATCAAATAGTATTATAGCCATATAGGTAGTTAAGATTAATCTTATGTAGGTATGGTGTATCATATTAAGATAACATTTAATTAATATTCGTATAATTATTGGCTTATTGAATTATTGCTTTAAATATTATTAATGGATTACTGCTTATTAGTTTTTTTTTTTTTAAATAGTACATTGGTACTATAATTACCAAACTATTTAAATAAATACAATTAATACTCAATAGAATTTCTTATTTCCTTACAATATCATGAATCACTATTTAATTATTCATGATATTTGCTTTTAGTCTTTACAAAATCATATAAATGATATTGCTTGTTTTTTTATCAAACCTAAGACTGAAACAAAGTAAAAAAATGAAATTGAAGAAATTGTGTGAAACTTGTCAACTATCAATCTTTATATCAATGAGGAAAAACCAATACTTTATGGTTACATTTTTATATTTAAAATGTGTTGTAGAAAATTGGGCTATCTCCCAATATGCGGTCTACCTCCGTTTTGTGTGCTACGTAACTATAAACATGAGTATAGTATGCGGTCTATCAATGTTATGTGTTCTACCTATATATCTGGGAATCCCGCATCATTTATATTTATTATCTACCAATTTATATGTTTTATCTTAATTTTTCATAACGATATATATTTTTTCATATAGGTAACAATACAGGTTACTGGGTTAGGTTTAGTGTCGTTTGTAGTAATACAACTTTTTTTAAATTTTAAGTTGAAAAAATAGTTTTTAAAATGCTAGTTAAAGAATTTTATAAAATTTTTTCAACCGAAGAATCTACTGTCAAATACCTTCAAGATTATGGTTTACTACCTTGTGCAAAACAATGTCACAAATGTGGCAGTGAAGTAAAACAGTACCAAAGAAATGACCCAGGAAAAATAAGAGAAGTTTTCCGTTGTAAAAAAAAAAGGTTGCCAAACTACCCAATCGGTACGTAATAATAATTCATTTTTTACTTATGTGGATGCAAATGGTCGATGCAATAGTAGATTAAGTCTCAGTGAAATTATGGAGATTGTGTACTTCTGGGTTACGGAAAATCAACTAGTTCAAATAATAAAATTTACGGGGAGATCCAAAAATACTATTTGTGACTGGAGGAATCTCTGTAGAGACATTCCTGTACGTATATTTAATAAAAGGCAACCTTTTGGGGGTCCTGGCCAGATCGTTCAAATTGACGAATGTTTGTTGAGAGGCGCACGGAAAAATAATAAAGGGCGCTTTCGACTTGCCGATTTAAAAGCTGCAGTTATACCTAGATAAGAAGATGAAAAAGACACCAATCGCAATTATGGTCGGAGAATTGGTGGACCGTGGGTAGTCGGATTATGTTGTGTTTTGGAAAATGGTTTAATTGATGCAAGATTTTTTGTTGTTGAAAAAAGAGACAAAGAAACATTACATCGAATAATTAAAAATGAGGTACCTATGAAATAATGTGTACTGTTTACATAACTGTCTATCTAACAATTTGGGTTTAATTTTAAGGTATTACCTGGTACAACAGTTCATTCTGATTCGTGGCTTGGATATAAAGGTTTATCTGAAAAGGGCTATGTACATGAAACAGTTAATCATTCAAATAATTTTGTGGACCCGGAAACTGGTGCCAATACACAAAGAATTGAAAGTCTTTGGAGGCCTCTTAGACTCAAAATCGTTAAAAAAAATGTGTGGTACTACTGAAGACCTCTTAGATAGGTACTTAGCCGAGTATTGGTGGCGAGGATTAAATAAAACAGATAATATTTTTGATGCTTTCCTTAGAGATTTGAAATTATGCTTTGTGGATAATTTTGTTTATCCTTAATAAATTAATTTCTTTTTTATACTTTAAATTAATACTTTTATATTATTACGGTAGATAATTTTGTAGATCCTTAATAAATAATAAATAAAATTTTTTTTTTACTTTAAATTATACTTATATTGTACTTTATTACTTTAATATTATTACGGTAGACCACGTCCATTTTGGTAGACCGCATATTTTTGTGGTAGACCGCATATTGGGAGATAGCCGAAAATTGTATATGAACATGATACAACATTTTTTTTATTTGTCTACATGTAAAATTTGTTAATAAATATCATTTGTATAATAAATATCAGTTATTATATTTAAAAGTTGTTTTTAAATTATGTTTTATTCAAATAAGGAAAAAAGTGATATGCTCAGTTGCTTTATTGAAATGGCAAAAAATACCAGAGCTGCAGCAAGGTTTGAAATTATTTATTAATTTAAACAAATATCCAGGGTTCAGATGTTTAATACTATTACTTGAAATCATTATTTATACTAATTTTAATCATTGTTGCTAATTTATAAAATATCATTTTTAAGTCTTATTAAATTATAATTAAAATTTTAAAATGTGAGTTTCTTTGGTAACTAAAACAATGTCTTGTATCAACCCTGCATATTTCCGTATCTTAGTGAAGTTATGTGATTTAATACAACATAAAATATACAATTATATTTTTTTTAAATGGACAGTAAAAAAACATATATAAGTGATTATACATACATAATTACATATATTATACATCTAGTGTTATATTAATTATAGATTATATAAAACCCGATATCCTGATCGTCCTTGTCTAGAATATACAAGATTTTATGTTCTGTACAAAAATATGCAAGAATACGGAAGTTTTATAAAACCAAAAGTAGAGTTTCGACAGTCATTAATGTCGATAATTCATTTTCGTTGTTGGCCAAATTGATTGAAAATCCTCATATATATTTGAGAACTGTAGCAGGTATTTGGTTTTCCTATTAAATAAACATTACAAATTACAAAATAAGTACCTATTCTACTTTTTAAATTTTTGAAGAATTAAACATGACATATTCTTCAGTTCAAAGAATTGCCAAAAAAATATAAATACCATGCATACCTGGCGAATCCTGTTCAGCAGCTTCTAGCAAGTGATTATGAAAGGCGACTCAATTTTATTGCACATTGCATGGTAAAATTAGAAGAGGATCCTCAATTTTTAACAAATATCCTTTGGACTGATGAGTCGAAATTCCACAATAATGGACATGTAAATTGTAAATCACCACAACGATCGCTATTGGAATCATTCAAATCCCCACTGGATAAATGAGACAAATAATCAAGTTCGTTGGGGTGTGAATGTTTGGTGTGGGATTATTGATGAGCATTTAATTGGTCCATATTTTTTGAGAAAAATCTTAATGGCAATAAGTATCTTGGTTTTTTGAAAGATGATATATCCATACTATTGGAAAATATTTCACTTCAGCAGCGTTTGAATTTGATTTGGCAGCAAGATGGTGCACCAGCACATAATACCTTGGCTGTACGTGCATACCTCAATAAGATGTATGGAGACAATAACTGGTTTAGAACTCACAGCCCCATTATTCAATGGCCACCTCGTTCCCCCGATTTGAGTGTTCTTGACTTCTTTTTTTTTGGGGCCATCTAAAAAATGAAGTGTATAAAGAAAAATGCATTAGTGTGGAGGAACTTAAACAAAGAATAAGAGATTGTTGCAACAAAATTGAAAACACAATATTGAAAAAATCTACTTCCTCTGAAGTATTAAAACGTCTACATTTTTGTATAACTGAAGATGGCAAGCAATTTGAACATAAGCTAAAATATAAATAACATGTATTTTTTATTCAAATTGTATACAAATACATATATTTATGTATTATAATTAATGTGTATGTATGTTACATTTTTTAAATTCTTAACCAGTTTGTTAAAATTTATATTTAATATGAGTTCTTATACTTACGAACGAATGAATTTCTGGTAGGCACATTTACATCAAGTTAATAAATTGGTCTTGGAATTTTATTGAAAATAACAAAATAAGTAAGTTGGTAAATTAAACATATTGAAATATCTAACTAGAGCTCCCAGTTAACTAGATCAGCTACTTAGTTAAAACTACAGGCACAGAATATTATTTATTATGATAATATTATTGTGAAAATGTGAAATTTATTAAGTTTACTACTGAAGCACACCAGTAATTACTAATTAGTACTTAGTAGTATCGGTCGTTGACGCCACGGCACCATGCTATAAATTATAATAGTCAGTAACAAGTAACAGACAACAATAAATAATTACTGTACACTACAGCAGTGATTTAAAACAGTTAACGGTTGTTGCAACTGTAGTACAGGCAGTCTACTAGAGTAACAAGAACGGGATTTTATTTGTGACATAAATAAACAGCAAGTTACTGTTACTATTTATTTGGTAAATACACATGTTGGTAACACTGTATTTTCTTTATGATAGACAGTTGTAATGATAAACCATGGACAACATTAACTTTTATGGACTAAAATAATTCTGTATTTCCGTATGTTATTCTATGGTGTGTCGTAGCATAGAATAGAGATTAAATCGTGATCGAAGCTACAAACAGAAGCAGACCAATAATAATATGATCGTTTGTTATTGTATGTAGGTATTATCGGCTATCAGGTACAAAGATTATCACCGCTATATGTATCTTGGGTCGAACGATATCGAATTTATAACTTGTAACTTCTGGTCTTTATAATTTATAATAATTATTACAACCACTGACCAGTGCCGCAATCACCTTCGTGGGGTGAACTTCATGACTCCCTGAAAGATGGGCATAATAAATACATTTAGGGGCTCTAAGTACTTTATGAACTGATTTGAAAAGTGTGATATCTTTTTCCCTGGGACATACAAATCCTGATAGCTGCGGTATCTACTGACGAGGTATAACACATTTACACACTATAACTATCTCCAAAAACCACCTAACTTTGAGGAGCAATATCTCATCAACGGATTAACGAAAAATGAAAATTTGAACGTAATAATTAATGAAAAAAATAGTTTTATTCAATTATGAAATTTTTAGTATAGGTTACCATTTGAAAATCAAAAGTTGATAGTGGTTTACCTATTAAATATAAGGGTGAAAAATATAAAAAAATATACAATTCTAGAACAGCATAAATCTACAATTTTGAAAAAAAAAAATTTGAAAAAGTCAATATTTTTTTCAAATAATGAGTGTTGTTTGATAAAAGAATCACCCTGTATAATACTACCTATATAGTTGTTGCATTTGTCCAACCAATGTGATACATTCTATATTATCGTATATTATATAGGTATTGTCCGGATAACAATTTCTTGAAAATTAGGTACGTTAAAAAAGTATTGTCTGTATTTTATGTAGTTACTCTAAACAAAAGCCGTAAGGCGTTTATTATTTGAATTAAAAAAATATATAGAAATAATACCTATAGACAATTAAATTTAGTTTTTTTAATTTATATATTAGTTAGGTAACTACTAGTTAGTTGCAAAAATGGAAAAAAATGTAAAGAGAAAATATTGTGGAGGTGCAGAAAAAAAAGAGTAAAGAATCGAAAGATATTATTAAAAGAATCTGAAAAATGCTTAAAAATAACAAATATTATGAAAGTAGGTACCTTAGGGCCGGTTGCATAAAGACCAGTCTGTAAATGTTTTAACGGACCTGTAACTTAATCACTCGTTAACGGCTTGTAAAAAAAAATGAATTTCATAAAAGATTATTATTATTTTGTATTTTATTAATAACCATAACTACCAAATAAATTGTACCACATTTAATTTGATTACAATGATTGCTGATTATATTATTAGTATTATTAAGTGTATATTAATAATTAATAAATATTTTGAATTTTCGAAAATATTCAAACATCGTGTTTACTGTACCATTTTCTGTGCTAATATTTTTCGTTTTTACAATATCACTATATATTACTATATTATTATATAATAATATTATATTAAACGGCACGTCGTGTGTTTATTCGTTGATGATAGCTACGGGCGCTACGGCTATCAAATGTTTGAGAAATAAATACATTACCGAAAAAGAAAAGGAAATGTTAATGAAATTAATAATTCCTCATAAGAACGTAATTGAAAATATTAAAGTATGTGTTTAACTGGTAACCTTATAGTTAATTATAAATTACAATGTGATAAGCATACTAAAAATTAATCTGCATTTTAGACTGATTCTATTAACATAAAGAGGAAAACTCAGTCGTTTGAGCATATAACTTGTCAGTACAATAACAATAATTGAGAAACTGGAAAAAGAACAGTAATTCAATTAAAAAATGTTTAATTATTACTATTATTGATATAGATACAGACAACAGACATACAGTGTTTGGTTAGAATTATGGACCTACTTTATTATTAATTGAAACTCCGTAGCTGGTACGTGATACCATTTATCATGCCATGTTCGGAACGTACTTGTCTGATTTGGGAGTGTTAGACAAGATTACAGATAATGTCAATTGGGCTAACATAAAGCAGGTACATGAAGAGAAGGTGTATGACCAAATAAAATTCTCAGCAGAAAGTAGGGAATTGGTAATATAATGTCCTATAAATGGATCTATTGCTCTATGTTCGTATCTAGGAGCAGCATTGGCATTTTCCTCAATTTGTTCGAAGACCTCAAGACCGGCAAACAATTCATATAAATCCAAATCGTCCATTTTTTAGTTGGATTTTAAGTTTAAAAAAAAAAAAAAACGGTAAAATATTAAATATGGATATGCAAAGCAAAGTAGAAAACTTTAAAAAACACATGTAATATGTAAACTGTAAAAACAAGTCAAGAAGTGCACGAAAAAAGAACTGGGCACTGGCTGATGAGATCTCCACTGAAATTATTTTGACAATTTTAATGATTCAAACTATTTGAAACGTTTCATATAATGAGCCATTGACCTATTAATAATAAACCTTGTCCTATAAATAATAAGTCAATGGTTTATAATAGCCAATTAATAGGTTTATAATAGGTTAATGGTTAGAGCTGTTAGCGAAGCACGCGATAGCGTAATCGTTGAGCGGGTATTAATTAGAGGTGTTCCGGGTACAGTTTTTACTTATAAACCGGGTACCGAGTATTTGTCGAGTAACAATATCTGTTAAAACCGAGTCTCGAGTACTGGTCGAGTAATAATTTTTTTTTAAACCGAGTCTCGAGTACTAGTCGAGTAATAATTTTTTTTAAACCGAGTCTCGAGTACTGGTCGAGTAATAATTTTTTTAAAAACTGAGTCTCGGGTACTGGTCAAGTAATAATTTACATAAATATTAAATACCATGTACTGAGTATTAGCCAAGTAATAAATAATAATGTCTGTTAAAATTTAAAACTGATTCAACATTTAATGGAGATTATCAGTTTGTAATTTGTATATGGTTTTTAGTGATACTTAATTTTTTTTAGAAAGTTTTGCATAATATAGCATAAATTAAAAATGCTCATGGATCATTTAAAAACTGAATTATTGTAAAAACCCCACATACAAACTCAGATAATGTTTTAACTTTTAACCATCAAGTTTCATAATAATTGATAGGTTGATTCACTCTAAATAGCAGATAGGTAATTACTTAATAAAAAATTAGCTGCAAGTCTGCAAACATAACTACTTATAGTTTTAATTTGCTTAAACAAAATTAAAAATTAAAAACATTTATTTTATAGTCATAACAACTAGCATGGGGGCCGGAGGGGCTAGTGCCTAGTACTAACTAGTAACTAGTAACTACTATTATAATTTTATATAATATTTTCGTTTGGTTGATTGTGGGCACACATTTTTTTTTATTATTAATAACCCGGGTGCCGGGTTTATTAAGCCGGGTACCGGGTATATTCCAGGGTAAAAATGTAGCTTTACACCGGGTACCGGGTACTGTCCAAGTCATCTTTTAATAATTCGCCGGGTAACGAGTATTAGTCGGGTACTGAATATGATATCGGGTACCCGGTTTGGACTCGATAACCGGGTACCCGGAACACCTCTAGTATTAATGTACCTAGATAGTAGGTAGCTGTAATACAATTAAGATTATAATTATGAACCTCCAGTAAATTAAAAACATTTTATGTCTCTCACTTTTTCTACAGTTGTCTTCCGATGTTTAAACATATTAAATAATAATATGATATAATAACTATGAACGTATTAATTATTTCTAATTTCATTTTATTGTATCTTATTTAAATTTGGTTTTGTTAATATGCCGATGATATTTTATGTTAGTAATACAATATAATATAATGTTTAAACCATAATCTAAATCCATAATCGGTGGAACAATATGTATCCGCGTACGGAAATCAATTTTCACATACGGAAACCCATCCGAATCAATCGTGTGAATATCTTTCACATGACATAATTGTATCCGTATACGAAAAAGGTTTCAGAATACCGTTTTTTGGGATCATGTGAAAACTCATGTGGAAACAACTTTTTTCGTATACGGATCTTATTCGTATGAGTTTGTGAATAGCCCCCCAGGTCGCGAAGCCAAAGACGGGAGGCGCAGCCACGGCCGCCAACGCGGGCACCCGAGGGCCACCACCCCGGCCGCTGATGGAGAGGCCGGTACCACCGCCAAGGGCAGCGACCAGGCCACCACCAATAACCGCCTTCAACCCGCCGCCACCGCCGACACCAAAGACCACCGCACCAACACCAGCTGCAGCCACGATGAACGCCCGCCAACGCCGGAGCCTGCAGCGGAAGCGGGACTACAAGGCAAAGCTCCAACAGGCGTCCCAGCAACACCGCCTGGAAAAACCGGCACCACCCGTAACCCCAGCCCCAGAGACGGTGTTATCACAGCCAGGGCCTGCGAACCCGCACCTCACCTTGGTCACGGTGCCGGAAGTGACACACACTTCCGGAGCGACCGGAACCACGGAACAACTAGCGGCCTAGGATACCGAGACAACAAAATAAACAGACCGAAATTTGCTGATGCAGTCAGCAAGGTTCTAGGAACCACACATTGTGATGACACCATCAATGGGTCAGCGGATCACATCTCACTAAGTCTGAAATCGGCCTGCGAAAAGCTTTTGGTGAAGTCCGCCGCTAATAAGTCTATCCGCCCTCCATGGTGGAATGCTGAGGTCAATAACTCACGCCGAGAACTTAAACTTGCTCACAGGACTATGCTCAGACAAAGAACTCCGGAATCCAGAGAACTATTTCGGGCAACTAGAAACAAACACGTTAGCAACATACGCAAAGCCAAGAAAGTCATTTGGCAAAAATTCGCGGATGAGCCTCTACTGACGGGTAACACATGGGGAAAACTCACGAAGTGGCTCATTAAGGGAAAGAGCGAACAACCTATCCCGTCAGTACTCCGCAAAAGTGATGGCTCTTACACGTCCAGTATCAGCGACACCATCAGCCTCATGTTGAACGAACTAATTCCTACATCTGCTCAAGACCAGAGAATTGAGCCCGTGGATCTAATAGGCACAGAATTCCCACAGATCACTTCAGAAGAGTTGACGAGAATTGTCAAAAAGCAGAGGAATAGCGCCCCAGGAGCCGATGGGCTATCGGTGAACATAATTAAAGCGGCCTGGCCAGCACTCTGTGCACATATGCTGCGCCTAGTTAACAATTGTTTAAGGTCTGCGAAGTTCCCGGACTCATGGAAAGATGCAAGAATAGTCGTCCTACTGAAAAATAAAAATAAAGATCTGCTTATTCCGAAAAGTTACCGTCCAGTCAGCCTCCTCCCAGTTCTTGGTAAAATCCTGGAAGAGGTAATCTGCGACATTGTTGAATATGAAGTCGGCAACCATCTGAGTACCGATCAACACGGTTTCAGACCGGGGAGATCGACCTCGTCCGCCTTAGATGAGGTAAAAGACTAGACCAGCCAAAATGGACGTCACGTAGTAGGTAGTTTCCTGGACATAAGCTGCGCATTCGACAATGTCCGATGGCCTATGCTAATCGAGGACATGCGCTCGCTCCGGTGCAGTTCAAACACTATCTCCATCACTATGAGCTACCTAACTGGAAGATTAGCTACTTATAGAATTGGTGGCTCAGAACATACAGTTAAGCTCACTAGAGGTTGCCCACAGGGGTCTAAGTTTTGTCCTAGACTCTGGAACATCACGATGGACCCACTTCTTAAAGAGGTCTACCCAGAAGACACCAAATTAATTGCTTACGCCGACGACATCGCCCTTCTGGTGGCGGGCAATACAAGAAATGAAGTTATTAACAAGACCGAGTCAGCCTTACAAACTATCGCGGCCTGGGCTAACCGCCGAGGATTACGTTTCTCTAGAGAAAAGTCGGTAATGGTCCCGCTCAAAGGTGGCCTAGTCCCGGGTTTCACTGCGTCCTTTGATGGTGAGCGCATTAGATCAGTCCCGGAGACAAAGTACCTCGGCCTGCACCTAAGCGAAGGATTCAATCTCCACGGACATGCAGTTAAACTCCTCGAGTCCAGTACAGACGTCTTCTCTCGGCTCAAGTCAGTAAGGAGATCTAAGTGGGGTGCGTCAGCAGCACTGTCACTTTTAATCTACAAGGCAGTTTACATCCCGAGATTACTGTATGGGTGCAAAATTTGGTACCCATCCGTAACAACCGCAGGCATGCATAATAAGATGGAGTCCGCCCAGAGAAGGGTGCTCTTGGCGGTCACTGGAGCATACAAAACGACCTCAACGAGGGCCCTCCAGGTCCTCGCTGGCACGCCGCCGATACATCTACAAATAGAATCTGCTATTAGAATACAAGATGGAATGCAGAAATCGGACTAGAATGTAAATAGTAATGACCACTAGCGGCAACGCTAAGTCAGAAAGTGGATAATCTCAAGATGTCCCTATCTACTATCTAGCGAAACCACAGCCAAAAGAACGGGCTTGGAAAAATCAGCCTTGACTGTGTGAAGTTGAACTTGACTCTAATCTGGCATTGTTCGGAAACATGCCGAGGTGTAGCACCTCATATGATGTTATGGATAACATTAAGGTTCATTAAAACATTAGTTAAGCATAACTTGTAATCATTAATATATTATATTGTTTATGGTTAGAACCGAGGTTAGAACTGAGGACAATATAACTTAAATAGAATATTCTATTATGCAGCTTGTATTGGAGATAGGGAGTTTTTATTATTACTAGTTAATGACAAATAAACATAATATATTATATACAAGGAATAAAGAATACTATAAAAACCCCATATTATCCCGCACCGGGATAATGAACCATGTAAATGATATGGTCCAAACATCCCGGTGCATTTTTTTTCACACCGGTTTAGTCTAGCGAATTTCTATTATAATTATACTATATTATAATATAAAGAAAGAGAAGTATTAGTATTAGTATAGTCTGACTATATTTTGTTCTTGTAGTAGGTAGGTAGTCAAAGTGTGTTTTCTCTAATAATCTTAAAAGAGTTACTAACGTTCAACATTTTACGTATACAATAATCCATTTCACCGTTATTTTACATATATTAATTTTATTGATTTCATAGGTTGCGAGAATTGCGGCTGGAATGGCCATGGCACTGGCTCCTGCCAGAAAACGGCAGTGGAGGGAGCACGGGCAAAGGCCGCCAGGGCTGACATTGCTGTTCGGAGAGCAGAAGCAGCAGCAGTAACTTTGGCTGAAAGGCTAAAGGCACAAGCTGCGGAGGCAAAAAAAACAGCAGCAGGCACAAAACCCCTCAAAAAAAAAAAAAAAATGTAAATTAAATAATAAAAAACTAAAATAAAATTAAAAAAGATAAATTATATGGATGTTTTTGTTTTCCGCTTGCCATTAAAAATATTCAATTGTTGGTTTTTGACTTGAGATTTAAATGCAACTTTGTGAATAAGAGTATGTCTATTGACTAATCTATAGTTAAATTTTAAGGTTATAAGTTAAAAGTTGCTCAATTGTTCATTTTTAATTACTCATATTTCTGCATATTAGAATATGACACAGCTAAATGTTTGTATGAGGAGTTTGTGAGAACAATTATTGTATAAGTTATAAAGTAGTCAATGCTATTATATGTGACCAAGGTGCTAGTAATGTAGCCGCATTTAAGGATCTAAAGATGACGAAAGATAAACCATATTTTTTTATTGGTGATAACAAAATTTATTCCATATTTGATGTGCCGCATTTGTTTAAGAATCTGAGAAATCATTTTACAAGAAATAACTTTTTATTCAATGGAAAAGAAGTATCATTCAAAGATTTAAAGGAAACTTATGAAATAGATAAAAAAAAGCTCTACAAATCATTCTTTGCTGTATATAACTGATGCACATATGCATCCCGGACCATTCCAAAAGATGTCATGCAAACTGGCAATGCAGTTATTTAGTCATAGGGCAGCATAGTGGCTGCACTGCTATGAAGACTTGCATTATGACTCAACAACTACAATCTAGAACAGCTTCTCAAACTGTTGAAATGATTAAACAGTTTAATAATTTACTGGATTGTCTGAATAGTAATTCACTTTATAATTCAAATCCTTTCAAATGTGCTTAAAATCTGATCAAAAAAAATCAAATCTTTCACATCTGATAAAAATAAAGGTCAACTTGAATTTTTACTTGAAGCTAAGAGTTGGTTTGAATCACTAGAAAAAATATCTACAGATCCAAACAAATCGCTTAGAGATACCAGACCAGTTTGTTTTGATGGGATGGTATGGACACTTAATGCGATAATTATGTTATATAAAGAACAAGCTGATATTGGCTATAACTATTTACTGACACGAAGATTTGACTCTGATGTAATTGAAAACATGTTTGCAGTTTTTCGACAAAGAGGAGGATATAATCGGTAGCTATAAGTTTAATATCTTAATGTTAAAGATGTTAGCATATAAATATATTATTTGTTTTAATACAGTAATCCTACTGCAAGAACGTTCAGAACAACATTCCGTATGAATGTTAAGTCAAATTTAATGCAGCCAACTATGTTGTAAAATTGTGAACCGGATGATGACATAAATTTGTTTAGCAAAGATGATAAGTCAACTGAAAATTATTCAGGTGAAGAATCCGATAGTTCCATTTTCATCTATATCTACAATTGATGTTTCAACGTTAGAAGAGTATGAAGCTAAAGTAACACTTGAAAATTGCTCAGTTATTTTGCAGGTTACTTGGGACACAAATGTTTTAAAAAATTTAAATGTGACAATTGTTCAAATGTAATGATAAAATCTGATGAAGATAATCAATTTAATGAACAAGAATTTCTTATTTTTTGTAGAAACTATGACTCTAAATCATCTGATATATTTTTAAAAATACCAACACATAGCTTTACGCAATTTATAACTTTAGCACAACAAATAATTAAAAAAAACAGTTGAAATAATGTCTCAAAAAAAATTCATACATCAATTTCTTTTTGATAAAATAAAAAGTGATTTGTCATATACTTATCTGTATGTTTAATGAATCATGCAATGACCATTTTAATTATATAATTATTCATTTTATTAATTGTAAGCTCCTAAGAGATTTTAATTGGAAATCTAAAAATATTAAAAGCACCAGAGTTGAAAAAAAAAAAAAATAAGTATTTTAAGAAATAAGTAATAACTAAAATATGTATTATTGTTGGTATGCATTTTATAAAAATAAAAATATACTATAATCATTAAATTGATTTGTATTTACTATTTATTATTTCCTTATTTTCTTTTCTAACTACCGTACAGTTTGTATCCTACATGATTTTATTAACACAGGATTATATTTACTGGATAAAAAATCTTGAGAATTGAACACAAAGTTCCTCTCATAAGTATTTCATTTACCAAATACAAAATATTTAATATCCTTAAACACGGTATTTTTTTATAATTGTTTGAAGATTGAATTTTACCAAATTTCGTTAAAATTTCGAAAATTTAAAAATTTAAATTCATAAAATATTCAACTTGAATATCTAAGGACTGAAAATTTAATACTAGGGCCCACATAAGTGGCTCTCTTAGAAATTTAAGATACAATATAGGCACGACTTTTGTTTATAAATTAGTTAAAATACGGTAAGTGTGTCAAAATCACGTAAACTTTCAAAATATTTTGTACTTAGAAATGAATAAAATGTTCAAAATATTTTTGCATATTTTTTTTTATTGATATTTTAAGTTCGAATTTAGACGAAATATTATTCGAATGTTTTTTATACACATATAGGTAAGTTATAACAGTTAACTAGGTACAATAATAATACAACATGAATATTATAATCCTTATTATGGTACCTATATAACGGTTGTATTTTAAAATATCCTAGATGGTTTGTCTTCGCTCAGTATCTAAAATAATATAATGAACAATCAGTTTCAGTAAATAATAACATTGATTAAATATATTATATTTAAATATTTAATTATTATATTTAATATAATATTCAGTGGCGGATTTAGGGGGGGTGCTTGGGAGCTGAAGCACCCACCGCTCCGCGTATTTTTATTAAAAATTATTAATAAATCGCCGAGTGGCAAATTTTTGGTACGGGCTACCAGAACGCGCGACGCTGCGTAGCAAAAACCGGTCGGCGACTACGCACAATTTTGAGGTACACTGGTTTTCTATAAGTTAGGTTAGGTTAGAACAGATTAACTGATAAGTCAGCTGCTCGGCTGTCAAAACATTAGTTTTTGTATATTATCTATATCATCATAGAACATGCTAAACATGATATTATCACAGAAAAAAAATATTTTGCCATGATAGGTACTGTTAACATCTTTGAATTTGTATTTTTATGCTATTAAATATTATTTGTGATAAATAAAAATAATTCGTACATCACTCATTACCTAGCTGTTGAACAACGGTCATTCTGCTTAGTACTTATTATAATAAATATAAGGAGGTAACGTAACTGTTGACTAGTGATTAGTGATTACTAATTAACCATTGTCCATTCGTAAATCTGAAATCATAAATCATGAATGAAAGTGATGAATCTAAAAGGTCCAAGAGAAATGGCAGTATAAGTATACTATCTTATTTTTGTAAAAAACCTAGAAACAATGAATGTGTTGAATCGGATAATAATAGTTGCTCTACAATTTCAAATAAAGTAAGTAGTACATGTTCAGACTAGGTATTCAGAATATTTATTCAGTGAATTAATCTTATTGTTTTGTTCATCTTTATTCAAACTTAGTTAGCAATTGAAGTAAATCAAGTAACTGATCCATGTAAAGTCATATTAGACAATAATACTGTGATAGATTTTTCTTCAGTTTCTCAGCAGGTAATATTTCTTTAATAAAATAAAAATAGTTTTATTGATATTAATGCTTGCGTTTTGCATCTAGCTTTGCTTTTGTTATTTTGATGCTTTTTTTAATTAGTTAGAAGTTGATATGCATGTGCAAAAATCTACACATATAAATGCCTATGATATAGGTCATTGCATAGATAAACAATTAACTGATGAGGAAAAATTTGTATATTTAAAAAATACCTGGACTCCCGCAGTTGGGTATGCTTTTCCTATTTATAAGTATGGAAATCAAAATAGACAATTTCAACTGGACTGGCTTAGACGCTTTCAATGGCTATCTTATAGTCAGCTTAAAAATGGTGGTTTTTGTAAATTTTGTGTATTATTTGCACCAAATAATCTCTCTACAGGGAGTAAGGTAATTCTTTAATCTCTCTCTCCAATATAAACACCTATATTATACTAAAATGTTTTAATTTTGTTAATGTTTAATATTTTCAGAATTTAAACACATTTATAAAAGCACCTTTTACCAA